GCGTTAAGTAGGCCTACATAAACCGCGCTGCTCGTCAAACTTATCTGAGGATAATTCATACTTGCATGTCGATCTTATTTCAACAGATAAGTGCCATAATTCATCATTGAAAAAAGACATCTTCTGACGAAGGGATGACGTTAACGTAATTTAGTTAAGGCCTTTTTCATTTTCTCAGATTGTGCATGTTTAAATGTAAGTGAAAAAATTAAAAATGCATAATGCAAAAGAAAAGGAAGAAAAGAACAGACATCAGCAATAGTGTTAGAATTGTTCAATCAATATTATTAACAGGCAAATGGATAAAAGTTTAAAATAGTTTTTCTCTATGCAGTTGCAAAGAGGTTTCATAAACATCTTGGATCATTAATTTTATTGCTTTATTCAGATGAAAATAAGCTTGATTTATTTTTTAATACAACCAAAATATACTTTTAGCAATTTCGATTTACACTGAAAACCTTAAAGATATAGCTGAGCAAATTGTAGGCCTACAATTTTTCCAAAATCTATTTTGGAACCGTTTGCAGACACAGTAAATATACATAGATGTTATATTGAAATGTTTTTCTTGAATGTCTTTTATTTGTCTTTTCAGCCATTAATGATTTTAGGACGCCTTCTCTTCTCCAGCGGTAGCGGCAACCAATGAAGAGATCTCCTGGCTGACTTTCTTCACTACGGGTGCCACATGTCTTGGTGCAGGGGCCGAGCGTATGATCCAAGGGTGCTCTGAAATTTCTTCCAGCGACAAACGATCGCGTTTCTTCACTAGGATCTTTGATATGAGGTCTTTGCAATCGTCTGGAACAAAGTCCTTTCCACCTGGAAATACCACTTTGTTCTGCACCTCATTAAGGAGTTTCTTGTGGTTGGAATCGTCAAAGGGAAGACGCCCGAACACCTAGAATATGTAATACATTAAAAATAAGTGTATCAGTTACACATCTTATTTTAGACTAACAAACAAAATAAAAAAGAAACTCCCAAACCAAATAAACCAGCTTAGGGACACTAAAGCAAGGGTGAGGACTCTCACAATGTTAGTGGCATAGATCTTTGCTTAAAAGAAAGCTCATTTGTGTGTTTCATTCTTATATACGTGTTTCAATTTCTCCTAGATTAAATTCACATTTTCCAATAATTTTAGGATTGAAAGTCTTTACCATAAAAAATCTAGTCCCCCACCTCCGCAAAAAATTCTGTCCCTTTTTTTTCTATATTTTAAGGAAAAAATTGATGCACGGGCACTTAATTCTTAATTCTTAGGTTGCATAATTATCCCCATCTCATTTGACAGAAGTCAACTCTTGCCCCAATATCAGAAAACGTAGTCTCAAGAATTGTTTGATAAATGCGGCAAAACGGCTCGAGTCGTTTGTAGACAAGTGTACGTTGCACGCTGCCCATACAAATATTCAACGATGAAAAATACATTCACGAATTTTCAGTGCACCTTGTACAGAGGTAACGTATGAATAAAAGAAAGATAAAACATTCACTTTGAAAGAAAGAGTTTTACCATGATAAATAAGACAACTCCCATACTCCATATATCTGCTATGAAAGGTTCGTAAGGCGTCCCAGTCAGAATCTCAGGTGGTGCATAGGCATAGCTGCCGCAGTATGTTTGACTCAAACAATCTTTTCCAGACAAATAGTTGAGTCCTCCACGAGCAAAACCAAAGTCTGTAACCTTCAAAATGTTCTGCCTGTCCAACAGCAAGTTTTCACACTTCAGATCTCGATGAGCCACCCCTTTGCGGTGACAGTAATCAATGCCGTGCACTAGATGAATGAACCATATCCCAGCTTGTCTTTCATGGATATACTTTTTCTTTTTTATCACTTCTAAAAGATCCCCATTTTCCGCCATTTCCATCACCAAATACACTCTATTAGTAGTTTCGATAGACTGCAAGAAACAAACTAGATTTGGATGCCGCAATATTTTGACCACATCTATTTCTCTTGGTAGAAACTTTTTCAGATAATCTGATGGCGCTTTTCGCTTCGAGATAATTTTGATCGCCACCTTACTCTGATGCTGGGATGAAAAGGCTTCCTTGACAGTGGCATAGGATCCAGTACCTAGAGTTGGCCCAACGGTAAAACCATAAGCTTCCAGAACAGAGACTTTATTGGGTCCAGCAGACTTAGATGCATCACTTTTCTCACAGTCTTTGTTATTTTCATTTTCTTTACCCGAGGACTCTTCTTTGTCATCCGCTTGCTCTTTCTTTTTCCCCAAAAGCCTGTTAAGCATTTTTTTTTTTCGTTTAAAGCACGGAGGTCTGCGCTTTTAGGTGCTGACTTTTAAGTTGCTGAGCATTGTTGTTGTCAACGTAGCAGCATTACGTCACAAAGGTCACTGTAGTTATGTTATGCCGTGCAAAGGAGATGACGTAATAAATTAAACATTATACGCTATTACACGTCAGTTTTGTTAACCATTAGAAATATGAACAGGAAGATATGGCCCTGTTTTATTCATGAAAAATCTCGCTTGCAGAATTCACACCAAAGAATAATCATCCATATCACCCGCCTCTCATTCTGGCCGCTCACTTACATCACGTGGCCTATTACATTGCATCTTTCAAAACTAGAGATGACAGATCGGATTTGCTCGAACTCCAACACAGGTTGGTGAGTCCCCTAGAAGATGTAGAATTCATTATATTTTTTATTATATTTTTCCCCCTATAATTGAACGATCGACCACCTATAATTGACCCATCATGACCTTGACTATGACCAACCAAGGTGAACACAAGGCAAATCACCCAGAGTAATCAAGATTTAATCACATCTGTGTTGATGAGGCAATATCGTTTTATAGTTTGTGATATCAACCACTGGCAGTTCTTTCTTTCTTTTTTCCCCACCCACGAGAGTGGTATTTATTCCTATATTAAAATATTTAAATTATGATATCCTGATGTGGAAATTACGTAATAAAATTGCAATACTGAAAAATAATTTGAGAAGTTCGTGAAATTTTTTGAGTTGTGTCGATCAAATCATCTATGTTGTCATGGTAAGCAATACAGCTATTGATGCGAATGCCCAAACTACATGTAATGACAATACAAACTATTCTCAAAATATATGTACTTTATATACTGTATGTAGTCCACTACATCGCACGTAAGGTGGGGGTACATGTTCGCGCTCTCCAGTGAGCTGCTCCTAAAGCACACTGGTTTATTTCATTCCTCATTCAAACTGCATAACAGTGAAATAAAAAATAAAAATAAAATTATTTATGTATTGAATTAAGGGGCCTCTTAAACAGATTGAGTTTTTATTTATTTATTTTTTATTATTTATTTTTATTTATTTATTTTTTTTAGGAACTGTCAAAGAAAGAGGAATAAAAAGATAAATAAGATAAAATGGGTGAAAAAGATAAAATGTTTTCAGTTTGTGTCAATGTAACCACATTTTAAAGAGAAGAATTTGTAGCCCTGCTTCATAGCTACATAGCTATAAGAAATAACAAAAGCCAACAAATACCGTGGTTGTTTTTAAGGAAAAACTGCATGTGCAGCCTCCTTCGAAATCCAATTCGGCTTTCAACTATATGTAAAACAGCTGTATATTTCAAGTCACCACCACGCACTTCGACTTTTTTCACTCTGATACTTGCACGAGCTGTGTCGTCTGTGTGCGTCCTGTGCGCGCCATATTACTGATAAGAAAGTAGAGTAGAGCTTAACCCCGTTAAACTAAACCTACTTCAGTTTACTACAATTTCAATGTAAGCAAGCGCGCAAACACATACGTTTTAAATTAAAGACTAACATGTAAGCCAATCCCTCTTCGCGTTCGTACAACCACTGCCGCAGAAAGATGCCGGATCACATTCGCTCGGACACTGACACTGGTAAATAACGTTTTTAGCTCTTTTATATCCACTCAACGTAAGCAACAGTTACGTAAAAATGTTAATGTACTGGTGTGCGTAATGTATTGTATTTCATTGTATCATATTGGAGTAGATTAACAGTTTAAATGGGACGGGGCATATCTCACACTGCAATAAGCTGTTCTGCCTGAAAATGTCCATCGGTGTTTATCCCTTTAAGCTTTAAATACCAACCATGCATTGGTTCATTGTGGTAATCATTTGTAGTAGGCTTACTTAGAAAAAGATAACAAAGTAATATTATCTTTATTTTTTCAAATTTAAATAAAAAATATTGTAACACGAGTTTTGATAAAAATAATAACAATACTATTGACCACTTAAATGTGTACGGTTAAAATTTTACAGGCTTTCTACTCTGACGTTTTTTCTACATACATGTTTATACTTAATACATATGGCATACATACACCGGCTGCATGGAGAGCCTCAAATGTTTATGGTACTGTTTGAAATGGGGTCACGTTGTTAACGGTGTTCTAGCTACTGAACTGCCATAAGCACTTGTGGCATACAGGGCAATGCCTTTATCGTCTTTTATGGTTTTTGGTCAACTTTGGTGAACATTTAACTGGGATGTTGGTCATACTTCTGTTTGGAACCGTACTGGAGCAAAGCATATTGATTATTCATGTCATCACGACGCAAAAGTTACTAAAATAATCCTTGCCACGTAAAAATAAAGCAATAATGATTATCCTTGAATGCTCATAACCAATAGGCTATAATTGCCGTTTTTTTACCAATTTTTATATACATTGTACGTTTTAAGCCGAAGGACAGGAACAAAATGTCCTTATTTCAATGCCTGCAACAAAACCAGAGGTCTCTGAAGAGTGCAGCAAGACAGAAGGAAATGAAGAAAGGTTGCTATACCCGATCAGGTCCGTGCCCGCTATACCAACCACATTGATTTTTGCGCTACAGGTATGCCCCGAAACTTGTACATGATAGATAATTTTTGAAAATTTGGTTCTTAAGTAATATTCGAGTGTCTGTGCTGTCCTACTAGAAGGCAACGCCTTATATTCATGACTTCCCTACACATTGTTAGCCTTCTTCTAGAGAAAAGAAGGAAAAGGGCTAGTATTCTGGTAGTATCATTATAAAATGCAACATAAAGCGACCATCTTCAAAGCAACATGAATTGCAGAGATCAGTAAATTAGATAAATCGCAAAAAGTAAAAGCAATTGCAAATGGCTAAGCGTAAACGAGTTTGACTTGGGGTGGGGTAAAATGGATGCTGTCTGTCCGTCATAATTGATTTTAATTTGTTTTTATGTATCTTATTTTCGGTCACCAGCAAAGTGTCATGTGCATCACGTGCAGCGTTTCCATTCCTCTGATCGTTGTTAAGCTCATCTGTGCCGTGGACAACCAAGAGGTGCGGGCGGAACTGTTCAGCGCAACAATATTTGCTTGTGGGGTAGTAACACTGCTACAGTGTAGCGTTGGAGTTAGGTGAGTCAAGAAGTCTTTACAACTTCTTGGGTGATTCTGCCTTCTCTCTCTCGTGTCATTTTGCTGCTAAGTACAAGTCTTTGTAAGAATCACAAAAATAACACAGGGGCAATGGAACACGACCCTCTGAGAATTTTTTTTTTTTTATGTTGTGAAGAACAATGCCTAAAACTAATAAATTGAGTCCAAGAAGTTGCATATTTAGAATAATTCAAGCGTCTTAAAAATTTATATAATAAAACATTTTAAATCTTCCGAGAAATGCGAGAAATTACAATGTTATTCCTTTTCTACAGACTTCCAATAATCCAAGGCAGTAGTTTTTCATTCATAGCACCGTTAATAGCCATGCTTACAATTGAGGGAACGAAATGTGACGATGAAAATATCATAAAAGGTAATACATTTTCGATTTTTTACAGTTTTTTTAATTGCAGTTGCCGCAAATAGAGACAGACACATTCTAAACAAAGAGATAGATGAGAAACGTACATTAATGCATTTACTTGTCACATGTACGTTGGCTGATGGATATCGTAAATACTAAAATTCAGCATCAGCTGCAGGTTTAAAAAGTTAAAATCAGCAGATCTGAGCCGCTTAAAGTAATGCACTTAACTCTGTTCACATTACATGTTGCTTGTATTTCGTAGATGACAGCAGTGCGTATTTCAACATAACACCTAATGGCACCGACGCAATGGACAGGGAGGCCATTTGGCAGGGAAAGCTTAACGAAGTCCAGGGAAGTCTCATGGTTGCCTCCCTCGTTCAAGTGATCTTAGGTGGTACGGGAGCGATCGGCGTTCTGATGAACTACATAGGACCCCTCACTATTGCGCCTACCGTAGCCATGATTGGACTGTCGGTATTTGATGTGTGCGCGGATTATGGATCAGTCCACTGGGGGATATGGGCACTGTAAGTAACGTCACTTATTCCTTTGCCCCAACTTTGTTTAAATTTATTGATATGAAGTTGCAGCTATCTTCGACGTGAGATGACCTTAAATTTTGTAATTCCTTTTTTTCCAGATCCCTAGCTGTAGGGTTTATTTGCGCTGTTTACATGAGGAATGTCAAAGTACCCTTTTTATGGTGGAATAGAGAAAGTGGCTGCCACAAAACCAGTTGCCAGATATTTGTCCTGATACCGGTGAGGGCTTATTGCATCTTGGCATTTTTTACTCGCAGCTCCGTAACATCGACATCAATGAAATCCACAATGTCTTAGTATCAGGACAACCGTAATGCATGTTATGACGAAATGGACAAGACTTAATGAAATTTACTCGAAACCATTTTCCCGTGTTTCAGGCTATATTCATGATAGTGATTGCCTGGATAGTGAGTCTCATTCTGACTTTAACTGGAGCTCTCCCAGACGATCCTGGACACCCCCAATACAAGGCACGGACGGACGCTTACGTGGGTGGGATTCACACCGCAAAATGGTTTTTCGTGCCTTATCCAGGTATTGGGTCTTTTTCCAACGCTCACTTTTACATGCCTGCAGTCGTATTGTCTTGATGTAGTCTTGATGTAGAAGGACCACAGTTTGCATGTTTCTCATTTTTCTTATTCTGTTTGTAGGTAAATATGGCCTTCCAACCGTCACTGTGGGTGGTGTAATCGGCATGATTGCCGCCACTATAGCTTCCACCATAGAGTCTATAGGGGACTACCACGCATGCGCCAGTGTATGTGAGATGCCATCCCCTCCCTCTCACGCCGTCAACAGAGGCATCTTAATGGAGGGTATCGGTAGTATTATAGCTGCTAGTGTAGGGACTGGGCATGGTACAACGTCTTACAGCCAGTGCATTGGTGTCATTGGAATAACAAAGGTAACCTTACAGAATTTGTTAGTCTAAAACTTGATTAAGAATATTAATAGTAAGTTCTATTCATACAAAACCGCATCTGTTTGGTTTACCTTTCATTGCCTCAATACAAATACATGTATATCTGAAATTCAGACGCCCATTCGAAAGTATGACTTTTAAGTTTACAAATGATAGGCCTACTGGCAAATTATACTTACAATTGATAAATTCATAATGACATTTGATAAATGTAGATGTGGCCGGGAAATGAGAAAGTTTAACAAAAATACTGTGCTTTGGGGTGGGGTGGGGGGTGGGGGGAGGAGGGGAGTCACGTTCTGCAAATAACAAACATATCATAAAAAAATAAGCGAAATTGTTCTTCTGTTGTAGTTTAAGTAGACTTGAAATTCGAGAATGATATTAGTCCTACCTTCCTTTCTTCTCGATTTGCCCAAGAGCCACAGCAATTCAGTTCATTTCAGGGCAAAGTGATAGCCGATACTTTATTTCTGTAAAATTCTGTCCCTTTCCCCCATTACTCATCCTACTTGCATTGGTTTTATCAACAATATCATCAAGTCTGCATATACACTGTATGTCAGGTTGGCAGTTTGAGGGTGTTCCAGACAGCAGGTATATTGATGATAGTTCTTGGAGTCATTGGAAAGTTTGGTGCCACCCTGGCAGCCATTCCCGACCCCATCCAAGGCGCCATTATCACCTTGGGGACAGCCATGGTGATCTCAGTGGGTCTGTCAAACCTGGAGTTCATCGACATGAGATCCTCCCGTAATATGGCCATCCTAGGAACATCACTGATGTGTGGCCTTCTGGTACCGTACTGGATGAGGAAGAATCCAACAGCGGTCAGAACGGGTACTTGTTGATCTGATCATGTAGTATTTTTAGTGAATAACTGATAACGCTTGTCCAGAATAAAACAATAATTCTATACGAAACTATATGTGGGTACTTCAGTCTATTACAATATGGTGAAAATATTGAAAATTTTTGTACAAAATGACAGTTCATTGTTTAATTTATCATAATTATCCATGATCTGGATTTGTATCATCTAATTCAAGGTGTAAATGAGATTGACCAACTGTTCACTGTATTTTTGACCACGCCCATGTTCATAAGTGGACTTCTGGGCTTTTTCCTGGATAATACAGTCCCAGGTACAGTTCCTCGAGTCATTTTCGTTCTGGAAAATATGCCAATCAGTCTGACAACTAGACGTCTATGATTAAGGCAATGACCTCAGTTTTCAAATATTATTATTAATAATAATAATGTTAAGTAAATAAATAAAGAAACAGGATGGCCTCTGCCTCTTCTTTACTTTGAAATTAGCTTTGCAGCTTTAATTTTTTTGGCCTAAATGTTTTATAATCACATATCGCCATAGGCGTGAATGATTGCATTAATCTCGGAACTTTATTGTCTGTTTTTCTCTAGGTACTGTAGAAGAAAGAGGAATTAAAAGATGGAAAGAAAGTCTTTCTGGAAATTCGACAGCAACTTTACAGGGAAGCATGAAGGATTACGACATTCCGCTTGTGTCTGAATGGATGAGAAAAATAAAATGTTTTAAACTCGTGCCCTGTTTACCTCCGTATCAAGAGAGGACTTTGCAAGCTTGCGGCAAAGTTCTTAGACGAAACAAAAACAAACGAAACAAATAGATTAATTGCCTCCGCAGCGAGCAACATATGACTTTGAATTTACATGGTACATAAAGTTATGACACACTGTCAAATACTAGGATAAACAGTATATATTTCATAGTTTCTTAAATAAGTAAATTAATTTAATGAATATTCAGAAAAGGTATCCGAACGTTTGTTATGTTCACAATCACTTTTGTGACGTATTCTTCCATGTATAAGTTTGTCCCGATCACCTGTCTTTAAAAGGGGGTAAATGACATTGAGGTCCCTCCCCTTACTGATATCGTAGTTCCTTCCTGGTTACTATGAAGGCTGTCCCATAAATTAAGAGTGACTGAATAAATTGAAAGAGCCACAACTTGGACTGTTTGTTGTTCCTGGGCTTTTCTTAAAACATGTTGCTTTAGCAACAAAATTTATATGAACAGCCGCCACTTTCTGTCTATCATTATCATCGTTTTTGCTATATACTGAAGACCTTATGTGGGAGTGGAAAATACTTCGCTTGCAAGTTGCAACGAAAATGTACTAAGAAATGAGAAATAACTTTTTTGTCATGCCAATAGTATTACATTGGTACCCATTACTTTAGTTCATCTACGTGTATATATGTCCTTTGTGCTGAATTACATGTGTTGGGAAATATAGACTATGAAAATACCCTATCTGTGAAGAAAAATAGAAAAGAATGTGCAAACAAACAAACAAAAAGTTCACAGCAACAAAACTTATTTGGAAACTTATAATTTTTAATCTGATATGGATATAACATTGTTGACTCGACATATCCACATTTCAAAATATTGCAACAGGTAGAAAATCACAAGGACATAACTTTAAATATGGTCGTTATGAAAAGCGCAATTTGCCATGGGCATGACCTAAGTGTAGTATGCAAATATTTTCTCTTATTTGTGGCCATGCCATTGATAAGCGATGAAAGGCCGGCATATGATGAGTGTCCCCTCGATCTAGCTTTTCACGTCAAACAGCAGGGGCGGATCCAGAAATATTTTCTGACTGTGTTCCACATTATAATTGTTGTTCAACCCCCCTTTTTTGGCCGTCTTCCGACAGAAAAAATTAGGTACTCATCAATGTAAACTTAGAAATTTGACCGTCTTCCGGAAGACCCAGAAGACTGCCTCAATCCGCCCCTGAAACAGCCCATGCAAAAATTTAGTTCGCCCCTTCGGTAAGCATAACAGGAGCTGTCAGTGCTGCACATCGATAGATAGTTAGTTCAACTTCCAGAAGCAAAATGATTCAGGATCACATTTCTTTGGACTCAAACACAGGTACGGTATAAGCTAAGGTCTCTTACAAAAGAGTAAGGGGTATTCGTTATGTAACGGAATTTCAGAGGTTACGTGAGTTTTCTTAATGTGTATACCTATAGTCTGATAAGTTTGCACATACGGAGATTTTAAAATGAAGAATATAGCCTACGTCATTCGGATATTTGACAGATCAGAGTAATGCACCGTTTACACCTACAGTAACAATATTAATAATAGATAGACCTCTAGTCAGCGAGAGTTATGTGGCATACACGAGTGCGTAGATAGTTAGTTCAACTTCCAGAAGCAAAATGATTCAGGATCACATTTCTTTGGACTCAAACACAGGTACGGTATAAGCTAAGGTCTCTTACAAAAGAGTAAGGGGTATTCGTTATGTAACGGAATTTCAGAGGTTACGTGAGTTTTCTTAATGTGTATACCTATAGTCTGATAAGTTTGCACATACGGAGATTTTAAAATGAAGAATATAGCCTACGTCATTCGGATATTTGACAGATCAGAGTAATGCACCGTTTACACCTACAGTAACAATATTAATAATAGATAGACCTCTAGTCAGCGAGAGTTATGTGGCATACACGAGTGCGTAGCACGAGTTCATGTCACAAACCCTCGCTGACGAGCGGTCCATTGGAGGGCTATGACGCATTTTTATTACGAGACGTGCTGCTAGTATTAGTTAGTATTAGTCTTTTGTTCGAATTCGACTCAATTCGACTCAATATCCACTCAATGATCTACAGATGGTTCAACAAGTTCAGACCCCATGGGACTGTGCATAACCTCAATTGTAAAGACACTAAAAGGAAATTCTCGACATCTGAACCGTTCTTTGAATTGCAATTGAGCTGCGTGGACAGACTTCAACCGAGAATATGCCTCAGCTATAGGCCTAAATGTCTTTTCCTCAGTAGTCCATGGCATCTCGAAGGTCGAATTTGGTAGACTCTTAGAACATCAATATTTCTTGATAAATCTGAAAAATAAAAGGAATTGATTATATATTTCAAAAGTTATTCAAGTTCAGGTGATGACCGTTTTTTTTTTTTTTTTTTTTTTTTTTTTTTTTTTTTTTTTTTTTTGTCACCCTGTACAATATCAATGTTAAAGGTGCATATGAACTGAGCATAGGTGGAGCGTGGATTCCTAGTAACACATGTAAACCACTTCTACTAGATTCTTATATGACTCAAATAAATTTGATATGCCAAGGGATAAACTGAATAGATCACTCGATTTTTTGTTTGTAAAATTTAACCGGGTGTGACTGAATTGCGCAATACACCGCAATACAGCGCAATACAAACAATTAAAAAAAAAAAAAAAAAAAAAACAAGTCCAGTCACAAGTAAACACGGGAAAGGGTGAGTTCAAACAAAATAGGTTGATATGAAAGCAAAATATATCAGTAAGTAATGAATATTGCTGATACACCGCAAGAGATTGACACAATTTTTTCAATGTTGGGTCAGCTGCCATGTTGGCGAGTGGCTCTTTTTGGTCAGTAATATATCCAAGAAGAGCTACTTACCAATATGGCTGCTGATCCAACAATATAAAAGTTAGGTTTTATCTACGAAATTACTTAAATAGTAATGTAGTTTGCTTTTATATCACCCTACTTTGTTGGAAATGGCCGTTTCTTTTGTGTGATTGCAACTGAACTTGTTTTTTCAAGTGTGTTGCGCTGTTTTGCAGTGTATTGCGGAATTCAGTCACACCGAATTTGAATTTAACCTACTTTCGTGACCTACTTTCCTGCCCCATTGACATACAGCTTAGAATGCCAGCAGAAAAATTCGTTCAAACATCATTTTCAGGTAAAATTAAACAATGCCTTTTGGTAATTCTCTTAGTTATACTACTATATGCTGGCATTTGGTTGGTTTTTGTGACAAAAAAATTGACTTTGTATGCATCTTTAAGCAAGCGCGCAAACACATACGTTTTAAATTAAAGACTAATATGTTAGCCAATCCTTCTTCGCGTTCGTACTGTAATGATCCTTTTACATATACATATGGAATGAATGTCTTAAACTTATATAATTTTGTACGCTTAATTCAAGCGTGGACTCGAAGTAGGACATTACGTTTTAGACTTACTTAGTGGATAACGCAATCCAAAGATTCCACGGTTCGTGTCAGATTTACGTAAGGTCGCGCAAAGAAAACCCATGTCCACATAATGACCAGTTAACTGATTTAATCGTTGACGCTCGGTAGCTACATATTCTAAGTGAAGTTTCCAACTCTTAACTCGTCTGCTCAGTACCCCATCGTTTCCAGTCTCCTCATTCGCTGCTTCCTTCTACATGTCTCTACTTCTCCCCCTTCTATCTCTCAAGGTTTCGCTTATATATTTATTTTTTATCTACCTGTATAGTCGATGACGCAAACTTTAACTATCTATAATTGTGTACTTAATTTCTTTACCTTGGCGTTATACAAAGAGGCAGCCACATTACTTGAGAACAATTAGACCACATCACATCACGTCATACGACTTCAAAACATATGTATGTCAGCCACGTCAGTACAACCACTGCCGCAGAAATAAAGATGCCGGATCACATTCGCTTGGACACTGACACTGGTAAATAACGTTTTTTAGCTCTTTCATATCCACTGAACGTTTATATACTTGGTGTGCGTAATGTATCGTATTTCATTGTGTCATATTGGAGTAGATTTGCAATTTCAATGGAACAGGACACTTCTCAGGGGTGGGATTGAGGCCGTCTTCTGGGTCTTCCGGAAGATGGTCAGATTTTCAAGTTTACATTCACAGGTATCTAATTCTTTCTGTCGGAAGACGGTCAAAAATGGAGGATAGGTCGACAAAGGAAGACTGTCAGAAAATATCTCTGGATCCGCCCCTGCTTCTCACACTGCAACAAGCTGTTCTGCCTGATATTTAAAATGCCTATCGGGGTTCAGCTCGTTAAGCTTAAAATACCAACCATGTATTGGTTTCATAGTGGTAATCATCTGTAGTAGGTCTACAATGGAAACGAAATTGATGAAAACAAAGTGATGCTATATCCTCATTTATTCAAATTTAAGGGGGCAATGTAGGTTAGAGATTTTCTCTTAAAATAAAGGTCTTAGCTTTTTTATTCCTGTCATATTCCTTTAATGTATCCTTAAAATATCTAATTATGCCTGAAACATAGCTCCAACTTCATCATGTGACGTAATATTGGGATTTTTGGGACAAAACACCATTTTTAAACACTTGATTTTCTCAGGCACCTGGACAGCTGTAAACATGCTTTTAATGGCATAATAACACTTGAACAAAGTACTACAAAACGGAGTCAGGGATTTTTCTTTGGAGATTCATTGTTCATTTTATCTATGAAAACGTGAAATTACATCACAATTTTAAGGAATGTTCACTTTCAAAGTCAATAAACTGGAAAAGAGAGGATCAATCAAAATTTCATAAAAATTGCCGTAATTGCCGTTTGTCTTTTACCAATTTTTATATTCATTGTGCGTTTAAAGCCGAAGGACAGGAACAAAATGTCCTTATTTCACTGCCTGCAACAAAACCAGAGGTCTCTGAAGAGTGCGGCAAGACGGAAGGAAATGAGGAAAGGCTGCTATACCCCATCAGGTCCGTGCCCGCCATACCAACTACATTGATTTTTGCGCTGCAGGTATGGCCCAAAATGAATTAACTTTTGTAGACAAAAGAAGATTTTTGAATATTTGGGTCTTTAGAACTTACGAAATATCGGAGTGTCTGTGTTGTCCAACTTGAAAGTAACGAGTTATGAGTAATATTCATGACTTTCGTATACATTGCTAGCCTTTTGCTGGTGCAAAGAAGGAAGAGGGCTAGTTTGCTGGTGGTATTATTATGAAAGGCAACATAAGACGACGTCGAGCGTCTTCAAAGCAACATGAATTGCAGAGATAAGTAAATTAAATGAATCACAAAAAGTTAAAGCAATTGCAAGTTTGAGTTTGACTCGGGTGGGGTAAAATGGGTGCTGTCTG